TCCCAGTACCCACTCATTCATCTACGTTAGAGTACTAACAAAAAATTTTGGAAGAGGGGTTTCTGAATACTATTCATTTTTTCCCCTTCCATACCCTATCATTTTTTTAGCGCGATAATCTTTCGTTTTCTCAAATATTTCTGTAGTTCAGAAAAAATACGACAACTATGAAATTCTAGCTTAAGTTTGAGGGTAAAGTAAATGGTAAAAGTTGCACAAACGACCATTACCAGTTCGATTCGAACTGTAAAGGCAGATCGCGTCAATGAGCCAAAGAGTCTACGTGCAGCCCGATTCGGCGCTCATGATCCACACCCACTTACTGTAATTCGCTTAATTCCTATCCAAAATTATTGCGAATCCCAATCAGTAACAGGTATCTATGATGTGGCAGTCGCTGATGCCCAACGAACGGTCCAACTTTTGCAGAAGGAGGGAAATCCGGGAGTGCGTGAGCTATTCCGCTTCCGCTTTCACACCTGCCCCGACTCTTCCTCCCCTGCAAAGTTGGAACTACTGTAGGCGATATGAGCGTAGCCCCTACCATAATAGATGGGACCCGCTAGGCAGGATACTAGTGACTAGTGCCTCGAAATAGAAGTCATTGGGACCTCAATCCTTCTGTGTTACTCGATTGCCATGGCTACATATCCTCAGGATACAGTAATCGTTGGCTGCTAACCTGTAGGCGAGTGCTGGATGAATACGTCGTCAGCCGGTTGTTCTGACTCGTCACCTTCAAACACCGTCGTCCACATTCGTGTCCGTCCACCGGTCCACTCAGCTCTCTGAAATTTCAGTGTTTAGTCATTGCGGATCACCGCGGTCCGTAGGTCTCCGTAACTTTGCGCTTTATTATATCGCCACTACTCTCTATTTATAAATAATTAGTGATTACCAATAACTGGATAGATAAGAAAATGTATTGCTTGCACTGCCAATGTACTTTGTTAATGTTAATGTTAATGTACTTTCTTTCTCGAGCCCATAAATGGCTACATCTCGAAAACGTAAAAAATGTCGAATAAATCAACAAAACAGCACTGCTCTGTGCGGTTGTGCACCACGTGCATCACATGGTCCGCAATGAATCATTCCCACAAGAAGCTTCTCGTAATCCCGGATTCCTTTCTAGCAAAAATGCTGAAGCAGTGCTTAAAATGAAGACGGTCGGAATCCATACGTTTCGAGATCTTTTGAGGAAAGGCAGAAAGGAGAGCGAAAGAGCGGAAATGGAGGGGGAGGGAAATGCTAAGCTCGATAAAGGGAGGAGGGAGGTGTAATCAGCTTCTTTGCTGAGTCCTACATGTATTTAAGTTGGCCTTCCAACAGGAGTCGGTCCTATCGTTGCTACTTTTCAAAAAGTTTTTACCGACCCCCTCCCTCATGAAATGTTCCATACGACCCCCTCTTCGAAAACAATTTTACCCCAAAAAATTACCGTCGAGCGGGCGCTGAAACGGCAAATTTTCTCCCGCGCCGCTCCCCACTCATCACATGCAACTTCTTACAACCGAAGCAAGTACGACCCCCCTCTACAAACTCATCAAAATACGACCCCCCGTTGCTACTTGTAGCAACATAGGGTTGACCCTGCGGTCAAGAGCTGGTGCAAAGGAGGGATCCTTCGCTTCATATTTCCTACTTTTCTCGCTCCCTTAATTCCTACTCTTTTTCTCATTGTCTGAAGAGTCTCATAATTGGCTACTCTGCATCTTCTCCGTTTTTTGCCTGAACTGGTCTCTCTCCCTCTCATCTCGTTTCTCTTTTTATTTCTCTAACTGAAGGAAAATAAGAAAGGGCCCCGAATAAGCGTAGATTATGCTGTGGACCCATTTTCGCTTTCTAAAAGAGCTGAAGCCAAATGCCTACCTGTTGACTGTACAAATCCTCTTCATCCATTTCCACCGCATCTACGCTGACACCCGATTCGTCATGTAAACTAACTTTGTACCTAGAATTACAAGATTTATCGTCGATTCTGTCACCCCTGAAATTGCTCGCTCACGGTCTTGGTGGGGCGGGAGGTGACATACAAAACAGGGCCTCTGAGAACCGTGATGAGGTGGCACCCGAACTGTGCCCAGCAGGGGGGGGGGAACCGACAGGGAGAAAAAAAAATTCCTCACATCTCCCCCCAGGAAATTCCTTGCCTGAACCTTAGTCCCAAATACTATAACTGGCTAACTTACTTTAAGCCCCCTCCCTAACGAAAATAAACAATCGGGTCAAGTCAAGAATCTACTGGAAAAACCAACCTATCCGTATCGAAATTATCGTCATTCAGGTCAGAGAATCGAGCATCTGAATAGGTGAAATCGAAGTCTTCACGTCTGTCATCTGCACGGGAGTCGTTTCTCGAGTGGGCACCTTCCCTCACTTCACCAGCATCTTCCAATACGTCGTACATCCGTTCGGTCTGCAATGATCGGTTGTCAGAGACCCACACAAGTCACCCAAAAACGCAAAACTCACCTTCGTGGCGAAGTCACCTAGTTCATGATCATATGATGTCGAGGTGGTACCGTATCCTGACTCTCGGGTGGGCGATCCAAGCTCTGACGACGATGTCATGGACGTCTGCCGAGGTTTCTTCTCGGCAGTGGGCGCATCCGGTTTTGAGGTGGTGTCCGTCTTGTCGTATTGAGCTCGTTGTGAGGCTGAAATGGTCGGTTCAATCGGTATTGATATACCGACGAGAGCTTTTGATTGATAAAGACCTTCTCTTCTTCCCGGGTCATCCATTTGAGCCATTCTCATGACTGCACGGATCTGCTCCCGCTCGGATGGCGACAGATGCGATAGGTCGACGCCGGGGATTTCTTCTTCAGGCGACTGTTCACGCGCAGGTTCAGCGACCCTCATTGGCTTTTCTGAACGGCGATTGGTGCAATATTTTGAGGCAAAGAAAGTCGTCAGTATCAGCGTTACCTTTTCTGGTCTGGAGAATCGTTGAGCGTCCTCTCTAAAGCTCCAAAGGATTCGATGGCCTGGCTTGTCGGCAATCTCCTGCTCATGGGTTCCTCTTCCGAAACTGGTGGAGTCACCGAATCGATTTGATCCTCGACTGCCTCTCTCCTGGAATTCATCACTATTGTAAATTAAGTGACCCTCCAAAAGTAAAAACACAAGTGCAAACCAACGAACCTTTCCGCTTCGCCCTCAGCGAGGTCTTTGAGGGAAAATTCTGATGAGCTGCGAACCATATGATCAGAAGGACGGCGCTTTTCTTGCTCCGTGTGAGATGCCTGGGAATAGAGGCGTTGCGTGAAGACAATTATCATGGCTGGCTCCGGTATCGTTCAACAGTAAGGAGCTCAGATCTTGGAGGAGCCTGGGAACGCGTTACGCGGGGGAACGACGATCTGCTGCTCTTCCATCGCCGCGCTCGCCATTACAGCCATAATCTTTGCTCGTTCCTCAGCCGATAGCTCTTCCAGCCCGGGTGGAACGGAAGGACTGAAAGAAGAAAAGCGTAAGAAAAGGATGAGCAATACCAGGATGGGGTGAAGAGGGACGACTGGGAGCCAAAAGGAAAATGAGGGGTGATTGCGGGAGGCAGGCGCGAGGGGTCTGGGAGGGGGCCATGAGGGCTGCTGTCTGGTAGCCGCGAAAAGCAGGCCGAGTGGGGGAGGTGGGATCGGAGCTGCGGGGGTGGTGGATGGGCGGGGGGGGAAAGGTTGAAATGTGGTTGAGGCTCCGAACGTGAGGCAGGAGTGGAGCTCACTTGCTGGGGGGGGCACCTCAGCTCCGTGAGGCGGGGGCACTGCTGTGAAGGCTTCTATTGAGGTTAGTAATAATGCGATCCGGGGGGAGCGGGGTACGAAAGCCAAAACTTCATAATAAAACCGCGAAACTTACCTTATGGATGGTGCAGCTTCAGGCGTGGTGATTGTGGTGAACGCAGACGGTGGTGGAGGCGGCAGGGGTTCCGCGGTTGGTGGTCGAGATTCCTCGGCATCTCGTCTCGCCGACTCCATTACAGCCAGAATTTGCTCTCGCTCACTAGCGGACAACCCCTCCAATCCAGGTAGCTCGACTTGGTCGCTGAAAAAAGTGCAGTCTGGCCACTGGAAACGGCAACAACACAACTTATCTAGTGAGGAATCTACTAAAAATCAATGAGTAGCAACTTATTGGGCAGACAAAATGCCAGCGCGTCATCAAATTTTCCGGTCCATAATCATCAAAAGAGCATCTCAGCTCATTTATCCCTCCATATGATCCTTAGGGGGATACTGACTTATTCGTTAGCTTGCTGGGCAATGAGATGCTACCGGTCAACCTGGATAGAAGTTATTTCTCAAGACCTCGAAAATTCAGACTTAAGTTGAATTCAGGAAACAGCTAGGCCGAAATTCCGTCAAAACTTGCAATGGCCCACCCGCATTTGCAGTTGGGTAGTCTCACATCCCAGTAAAAGTATCCCATAAACTTTGGTAATTCCCAGGCAGGGTTTGGTGTCGTAGGTACTTTCTGCGATAATTTTTTACCCCCTCCCCCCCTTCACGAAGAAGTTCTGCCTACGATCCCCTCCTCCATTTCGCGCTACGGAAACGAATACGACCCCCCAACCCCCACCACAAACTTAAAGAAACTACGACTCCCCCGTTGTTACTTGTAGCAACGTAGGGTTGACCCTGATTCCAGATTCAGCAATTTTTATCCCCTTTCTGAACCCTTATTTCTTTCATGCCAGAAGATTCTACGCTGTACAAGTGAAAAGGCCCTTCGAAGTCTCTGTGGACGATGTTTAGCTGTCCACAGGAAGCATAGGAACTGTCCGGGCCCTATGAGAAATCATGGGCACACGTGTAGGCTCACCCACTTTCCCTGGCCCTATGGGTCGAGCACCGTGGGTAAATTTTCCAGAAAAGCCTCTTTTTTTCCCTCCCAATCCAAACAGGTTCTTCGCTCCTATGTTTACTCCATTTACCTTCCCTGTTCGACCCTCATGGCCTGGCTCACTTCAATTATCTGGGAACCTCACGCTGCAGTCACAACGGCTCGGGCTTTCAGGGAACTCTCATATCTACGAGCACCATGACATCGATCTCGAGTGGCTTCATGACTAATGAAATGGGTTCGAGGCGCTTGTCTCCGGCGGCGAAGCCTGGGAACGAATCCGTCTCTCATCGCCGCCCTTATGGACCGAGTACTCGGCACTGCACGCCATCGATTCCTTCCCATATCTCGTACTGCTTTAATTCCTTTCCGGACCCCTGCCGTGAGTTAATATGACGGGATGTCGCATGATTTAAAGGGCATTTGATGAAATAGGATACTCATACATCATACTGGATTAATAATTCATGGCGCGAAGCTGGTAAGCACACAAACACACCTCGGGTGTCGTAAAATGATACTTTCCCCACCCATATGTAGAGGGCCACTCAAGAAAGCCAGACTTCCTACTCACCTAGGTATCTGACCCATGGCCGTGTGCGGCCGCTTGGGCTGCAGGTCCTGCACAGAAGAAGCAGATGGCATTGGTCGCAAGACAGTAGCGCTCCACTTCGTCGGATTTGTGGTGGTGGTGGTGCCAACGCCTCAGCTCCTGCTGCTGCCATCACAGCGAGGATCTGTCGACGCTCCTCCTCGGAGAGGTCTTCCAAGCCAGGAGGAATCATCATTTCGCTAAAAAGCATTCCATAAGAGGTTAGTCGAGGATCTGAAAATGTTGGGAATCCTACCTGGTTGGTTGTGGCTCCAACGACATCATGGAGTCGCGTTCAGCACTGGCCATCACTGCCTCGATGTGAGCTCGTTCCTTCTCGGACAGGCCATCCATAGGTGGCAAAGAAACATCACTGAAAACGTTCTTGTTCAACTGCTAAAGAAGATTATGGCGAACGACAAAAGGTTCTCATACCTCTGCATGGAGATGCTCGATGGAGATCGTGACGGAGTGGAGTCGGACCGGGCAGAAATCGACGGTTCCTTGTCCTGCTTGAGTCGAGGCTCTTGCGCAGGACCGCCAGTACGTTCTCGTGTCGTTCTCGAGAAGAAAGGATCCCCTGTGGCTGCGACGTCGCTAAAAGAAGTGGTGAACCAAGGATTCACGATCTTCAAATTAAATCGAATCTGAAAAAAAACATACGAGAGCGGGGTGACGGCCGCTGATGGTCCGGCGCTGGCGACGGCGGTGGCGGCTGCATCCAGTTCGGCACATGCCATAACTGCTTGGATCTTCAGGCGCTCTTCTTCCGACAAGCCCTCCATACCCGGTACGACTTGAGCAGTTTGAGCCTAAACTCAGCCAACTTCT